ATATTTAGTCCAAAAGTAGTCTTGCATATATTTGCTTCTAATGGCTGCAAGAAAATTTAGATGGGGGTGATATTCAGGTGCTCCAAATTTAATTATCTGCACTGAAGTTTCAGAATTAGTTTCGATTTCAACTTTGTTTAACCCCAAAATCCGAGCTCGTTTTTTGAATCAGCATAAGTTCCTTTCAGATCCAATTTCTAGTTCTTTCAAGTCTAGAGCTTATGCAACTTTGAGGCATCAGGTATAGACATATTGTCAATTTGTTATACAGGGGAAGTGGTGCCATTGCTAAAAAAACCAATTAGGTTTCATCAATGTTGTTCTGTAAGAGTGCCTCAAAAGCTTACCATTCACTTCAGATAATTGTAATGACTCTTCTTTCTTTCTAAGGGCCTGATCAAAATGCAAAGCCAATTCTTAATCATGCTTGTGCAAGAAAACAAAATTTCTGGAATCTTGCTTTGATTAAAGTATTCAGAAAGCAATAAAACGATTTTTTTTTCAGTAGCCAACAGATGAAGACAATACATATTTTTAGTTTATAAAATCATCAGTTTCACATATATTTGCCAGCTTTCGGTGCTGTTGTTTGGTCGATATTAGTTGTAATCAACATATTTAACCCCTAATCACCTTCATGCTACGTTTAAAAACATGACTACATTATTTTAGTTTCTGTAATTTTCTATTATTCCCTTTTTGTTTCCTTTATGCTAAAATATTTAGTTCCTTGGGATAACTGATGCTTTGAAAGCCTAAGTGCTGCATTCCGTTTATTATCTTATCTAGTCAGAAGGCACCAAAAGATACTAGTTTTCTAAGGAAGTAGAAAAAGAAGTTGAGGCAACCTTCAATATAATAATATGTTTAAGGCAACTTGATCTAGTTCAAATGACCCTTCATGTTCCTTAAAGGAATTTACTGATGACTCCATAAACCAAAAATGTCAAGTCCATTTCTTACTTTTATGCAATAATTTTGTATTATGATGATGATTATGAAGTACAAGTATTACCCTTTTATTGTTTTCTGCTACAAGAACTAAACTTTGTTTATTGCTGCCCTCAGCAGTTTACATAGTGATGAAACACAGGGCCAAAGCATGATATCAACATATCAGCTGAGATTTATTAGCATACATTAGAAGTTTACCTAGTGGTGAAACACAGTAAGGGGTGTGAGTAAACCACAATTACAGTAAAATAGTTTTCACAGAGTGGTGAAATATTTTGGAGCAAGAGTGTAACCCAATGGAAATGATATTCTTGTTCTTGACATGAAGTGCATTTATCATCATAATTACAAGTCTTTCTAAACAAGGAACTTGGTGAAAGGGACACAAAAAATATCTTCAAAAGCCAGAAGTAGAAAAATGGAAAACTCATTACAGGTTGGTCTTTTTTCTATGTACATTTTATCCTAACAGGTCAGACAACAATTTCCCATAGATAAAAGGTCATTATTCAGTTCGTTGGACAAGTTCCACGATAACTCTTTCTGGTGTTACCCAGTGACTGATATAAATTTGACTAAAAAAGAAACTTGAATTTAACATTTGCAATATTGTCATACAAATTGTATGTTTAGTCACAATTTGGCTGCCTGAGCGTTGAGAACACACTTGGAAAGTGTTTTTCTTTTAAAAAAGAACATAGAGTTTAACTTATAGTAGTTTTTTCTTTTCATTACTTCTATAGTGGCACAGAATGTGATTAATATGGACACAGCTTAATCCCCATGAAATTGTTTTCTGTCCGTCCAAAGCTCATAGCAGGCATCTTTTTCCTTATTGAATACAGAGAAGTAGCTTCATGTGTGAATGGTGAAGGTTACATACATTTAACAAATATAAAAGTCCTGCAGCTGTGGGGTAGAGGTCACTGCTTTTCAAAGCAATGAGAACTTAAAGAAATAATTTCAAAAGCTAAACCTAGCCGAATTTCTGCATAAAAACAGAATTTGGAGGCTTTTAAAAAAAGGCAGAATAGGCAGTAAGCTGACTGTGGATTTTCCTTGTTTATAAATGTATATATTTATTTATTTATTTTCAAGTGTATAACACACCTTAGCCAAAGAGTATAGTGTTTCATGCCCCAAATTTTCCCTGAAAGGAGAAAAGAAAGATGGTAATTGGAGAGTCATGGGCTCAAATAGGATCAACCATTGCTGGTTTGATGTTTGCGTTAGCTACATTACAACAGTTTTTCCCTCTCCAACTTCGAGTCACTCTTGAACAGTTTGTTTTAGCCACCCTTCAGCAGTTTTCTTTTGTCCAAAAGTTTTGTGATAAGTTGGTTAGTTTTTTCTTACCATATATCACGATCACATTTCCTGAATACTCTGGTTACTGGAGCAACCAAGGTTACACTGCCATTGAAACATATGTTGGGGCCAGATCAACCACCGAAGCTTCACATGTAACGCTCCCAATCCCACATCATAAGGATGTGTGAATAAAAAATGATATATATGTAGAGATTTAATCTCAAACTTGTGAGATTTTTTTTGTGGGATAAAATCGTTAGACCTTTAGATCAAAACGGATAATACCTCGCAGGTTAGGTGCGGGTCTCTATATCACAGCTCAAAGGGAGCCTGATCAGAAATAGTAAGGCTCTTGTCCTGACATATGACAGGAAGGTCTCGGATGAATTTGATGGGGTCAAGGTCTGGTGGGTTTCAGGCCCTTCCACTTCTACTAGCTCCGAGGACAAGTATTACCAGCTCATCTTCCATAGACGCCACAGTGATTTGATCACAGGGCCATACCTGGATTATGTTCTGGAAGAAGGCAAGGCGATCGAGGCCAGGAATAAGCAGAGAAGGCTTTACACCAACAATCCTAGTGAGAACTGGAGTTCTTACAAGAAGAACTTGTGGAGTGACATAGCTTTTGAGAACCCAGCAACATTTCAGACATTAGCAATGGATCCTAAGAAGAAGGAAGAAATCATCAATGACCTGGTGACATTTAGTAAAGGAAAAGATTATTATACCAAGCTTGGAAAGCCTTGGAAACGAGGGCATCTCCTCTATGATCCACCTGGAACCGGTAAGTCCACCATGATTGCTGCCGTGGCTAATCTTTTGAATTATGATATCTATGATCTTGAGTTGACAACAGTTAAAAACAACACTGAGCTCAGGAAGCTATTGACTGAAACATCAAGTAAGTCTATAATTGTGATTGAGGATATAGATTGCTCCCTGGATGTAACTGGTCAGAGAAACAAGGAAAGAGCAAAAAGCAGTGAAAATTTGGGGCATGATCTGAATTGTAAAAGAGAGAAGGAATCTGAAAATGAAAAGACCAGTAAAGTTACACTTTCTGGACTATTGAATTTTATTGATGGTACTTGGTCAGCTTGTGGAACTGGCAGGATCTTAATGTTCACTACTAATCATGTAAACAAGCTTGATCCAGCTCTAATTCGCCGAGGGCGAATGGATTTGCACATTGAGCTATCATATTGCAGTTTTGAAGCATTCAAGACACTAGCCAAGAATTACTTGGATCTTGATTCACATGACTTGTTTGAAAACATTGGCATTTTGTTGAAGGAAACAGACATGACTCCAGCTGATGTTCCAGAGAACTTGATGCCAAAGCGTGAGAAGAAAGATCCAAATTCTTGTTTAGAGAGCCTGATTCAAGCTCTTGAGGTGCCAAAGAAAATAAAAAGTTGAAAGCTGATAAAGAAAAGGCACTCAAGGTCAAGAAAGAAGGAAGAACCAAGAAATTTTATACTAGTTTGATTAAGAAAAGATGGCCGTTCTAGGCTTAATTGATGACTCCAATCAGATTAACAATTTAGTTAATTTCAGCTTCTCATGTTTAGTGTTTTTGCACATTTCATTCTGGCTAGGCTTAAAATTGACTGTGAACATATGCAAGCTATATATCAAGTAAAAAAAAAAAGATTACCTTTTCCATTATGTTGATATTTTGTCATTTCCCAAACAGATTTGTGCCAGAGAAAAGGCAGGCTGAATATGATTCCAAAAGCTTTAGTGATAGAATTACAGTTGTCTCCAAAAACAGATGGTCTGATTTGCATTTTTACCATTAAACTTTTTAGGATATAGTTACCTTGCCTTTCCCATTGTTACTCTTTGCCTTAAGGACATGCTTATCATTTTATTTTTTTTTTTACAAAAAAAGGTCGTAGCATGAAAAAAAAAGTTGAAAGTGCTGAAATTTGAATATCATATCTATTGGACATCATCTTAAAAATGATTAGATAAACTAATTGAATTAAATAAAAAAAAATCTAGTGGTCTTGTTTTCTCATTCTCCTAAACAAAAAAAAAAAGGGAATTAATTTTATTTGTGTGGTAAGCTTCTTCCATGCTAAATGGGGCTTTCAACATTGTTGAACATATGTGAAATACTAAAAAAATATTTTTTTCTCACTTGCTTCCTTTGCCACCAAAACAACCCTCTCCCAAACACAATTTCCTTGCGTTGATACGATAATTAATAGAAATAATAAAATAATTCATATTCGACAGGTTTTGATTTGTTTCGATTCGATAATGTTATATATATTTTAAATTGGAGGTAAGGTCAAAGGTGGATCGATTTTCTCTAAAATTGGGTTTGAGTCAAAGTGAGTTAGGTTATACTGCCCTAACCCAGATATATAAAAATTATTTTTTATTATTTATTTAATTTTTATATTTATATGTATTATATTAATAAAATTATTATTTAATATTAATTTATATATAATTAAGATATAATTTATATTTAAAAAATTATTTATAAATATTACACTAAATTAAAATTATTAAATTAATTTCGAATTAAATCGATTACGATTTATGAATTTGTGGATCGAATAAAAAATAATAATATTTTGACGTCACGTTAGATCAAAGTCGAGTAAAAACTTATCTTAACTCGACTCATTGCCATACTTAGCCATTAATCATTCTTTGAAATACCTTTACTCTCCACTCCAAGCCAATAAATACAGATATCAAGATTTCAAATCTAAGTATGGATCATTCATCTCCTTTTTCTTTCTCATTATATGTTTGACAAACTTCCTAACCCTAGAGGCTATTTTTGCCTAAGTTAAAGCAACTCTTTGATATTGCTATATTTGGAGTAGTTTAGGAGGTAGAAAGATGTATTAATAGCAATTGCTACAAGTTCTCATTATATTTGACAATTTTTAAAATATAATAAAAATGATATAATATTGATACAATTTAAAATTTTTGTCAAAATTGGGTTTAGCAAAATCTAAAAAAATTATGTCTTGTATTTGATATATCGACTAGAGAAGAATGAAAGAGGTCACATTGATTGAAAATACTTCATAGGATTATAAGAGAATGAAAAGGTACATGTGTAATTTTGAGAGTATGTTTTGATTTATTTCATCTATTTGTAATTTTGTATAACTAGTTAATCTTTTTTTCCGTTTGTGAAGGTAGGTAAGTTGAGTATCGAACAATGTTAAATTATTCTCTTGTGTGGATGTTTTATATTTTGATTTCACTTTTGCTTGCTCAATTTGCTAATTGAATTGGTCTTTTTATCTCGAACTAAATTCTTTAAAGCCATGTTTGAAGCAAATGTAGAATGATATTAATTCAAGGTATCTAAAAAGGTTGAGTATGTGGAAAAGAAGTAATTTAGAAAGCTCGATTCAAGAAAAAATTTTTAATAAATTTAAATTGAATTATTAGATGTATAAAGTTTGAAAACACATGAGAAAAAATGATTACGAAAACTTTTATTGCGTGTAGATTAGAATATTATACATAGATGCAAGTTTAAGTGAATTAATAGAGAATAAGAAAGTCAAATAGATACATTTGTTTTTAGATTAGAACGAATACTTAAAGATAATTAAAAATAATAAAAATACCATATAATATTGTTTTAGGATTGAGTTGTTGATTAATTTGAATATTTATAATTTTCAACTAATGAATTTTTTCTATCATATGTAAAGATAGGCGAATTGAATGTCAAACTATATTAAATTATTATCTGGGATGTTTTATATTTGGATTTCGCTTCTACTCGTTGGATTGTTTAGTTAAACGAAGGCTTTTGGCCCAACATAAAGTGCCGTCACCTTGTGACAAGAAAATTTGTTTGCCCTATCTCTTTCTAGTCATAGTTTTCCCTGGTGTTCTTCACGAGTATGCAAAGCTGGTTTCCATTTCTAATTTTGCATTCCTTGTTCTTTCAAACATTATTCTATGTTTGACAAAATTTGTTAATTTTTAAGTCAACAAATTTATTCATAAATTATAGCTTTCATTAATTTATTTTTATATTTAGTTTAATTCAACTAAAATTAAAAATATATTATATAAAATTAAATTACTTAAAATTTTAATTCTAAAAGTGTTAAAAATGATTAACTAAAATAGTCGTATTAATTTTTTTATAAATTTTATAAATGAATTTTCTTTTTTATTATTAGACTTCTTTTTATAATTAGACTAAAAAAATGTTTAAATGATTTACTAAAATACCCTTAATATAAAATTTTAATTCCAAAAAATGTCAAAAGTAATTGATTAAAATACCATTATTAAATTTTTTCTATAAATTTTAATTTAAATGAATTTTCTTATTGGACTTCGCTTTTGTAATTTGACCCATTTAAGACACAAAATATAATTTTTATATCAAATAAAAATAAAAATGAAACAAGATCAAAACTTATTATGTACATAAGAGTTAGATATTTATATGAAGTTTATTTCTTTATTGTTAAGAAATTAATTACACATGTAGTTTATGTTGATAAATAAATTTATTAAAAATAATCATAATTTAATCATTGAAGTATATTTATTTTTTTTCTATTTTTTGCCTTTCAATTTTTTGTTTTAATTTATTTGCTAATTATATATGTATGTTAATAATTTTATTGTTTGTATGTTTTATGGGTTGATTATTTTATCATTAATAACATAATTAAATCTTTTTACTTTCTTGAAATAATTCCTTAATATATATCACTTTTATAATTTAACTTGACTTCTATAATTAGTTTCCTTTTTATATATATTTTTAGAATTTGATAATTGTTATTTCCATAAACAAAAACTAATATAAGATCAAATGTAATTGAATTGCACATCCATCACCAACAATTAGTATTATATTATTTATTAAACACTTTGAATACTTTAATTAGATTTTTATCCACAGAATTAGATGATTGAGGAGGTGATGAAGTTACCAACAACTTAGAACCAAATTGTTATAAGAATCATTCATATTGATTTTTTCTATCTTAAGATGATTTCATTTTTCTCAATTGTGTTAAATTGCTTATTTTTTGTCATCTAAGTGGTTGAATGATTAAACGTGAATTATTTTTAGTAGAGAATTATCAAATAAAATAAGATTAATTATTTTTTGTGAATTCTTTCAATGTGTGACAAAATTTATTGGAACCATCTTTTAATGTGTTTATGCTAAAATTATATTCATTTATGAAAATTTGTATTTTAATGCTGAAAATAAAGTCATTATAAATTGTATAGGTGCTATATAATAAGTTTATTATCTTGAGAATTGGAATTTCTTTAAGAAAAGATGACAAGTACCTAGGTTAGGAATTTATTTTATTTCATTTTAAATTTTAAAAAAGAAAATTTAAGTTTTTAATTGGTAGAGCATACAATTTCATTCAACCAATGAAGCATCAGTAGAAGATTATCCTAAGTGAAAAAGAAAAAAAAGATGAAAAATTTACTAGTTATGCATATCTTTATCTTCTCCAAACAAAGTGAGTGCTATATGATGTTTTAATGAAGAATATGCAAATGTATTGACTTCAATTTTTTTTTTAAGATTTAATATGAAACTCTTTTATTAGGACAAACATTATATACTTCTTCATTTTCTCCATTATATTAGTTAAAGAGTGTTTAGTGTTGTATCAAAATTTTTAAGATTATCGTATTAGTTAATATTTGTTTAAAAGCATTGAAATTCATCAAATTAATTATTAGTATTACATTTAATATAAAAATATTATTATAAATTATAATTTAACTAAACTTAAAAGTGACTTAAAAATATTAATTAACAAAATTCATTTGATAAATATTTATTTAATTGTGTGTTTTAGAATTTTAATCATTTTTGAATTTTGGCCTTTTTATTATTTGAGTAGTGTTTTAGACTTAAAATCAGTGATTTATTTGGTTGAGTAAGTTTTTTCATTTACTTCTATCCATAGTATAGTTTTTTATTCACTTATACACATGAGAAAATTTAACTCTATAATTGGTACATGCTTATCTTTGTTTAAAAAATTGAATTCAAATCATCTTAAATCCAAATAACAAAAGAATTATACTCAATTACTTATAATTGCAATTTTACTTTAAAAATATGAAGCGAAGTGAAGCATTCACAACAATTCAAAACTATCTCAGTGGCAAGTCCACTGCGTCTGCTGAGAGGCTTAAGGCCGACGCTATAAAAGATAGCCAGTCTCTAGTCCTTAGCATGAATTGTAATGAGGAAATTGCTGATGAGTTTCAAGGGGTGAAAGTTTGGTGGACTTAAACAGAATTGCTCCAAGATCAATGCTATTCTTTGTTTTTCCTGTATTTGATGAGAAGAGGTATTATAAGCTCACATTCCACAACAGGCACAAAGAAATCATTGTTAACTCTTATCTTTATCATCTACTAAA